CACCAAAAAGTTAGACGTTAACAAAGTCGTAATTAATCGCAGTAACAGTTCTATTTCCGATGGTCTGAAATCCGTTTTAGCTAAAGGTCTAAACTTTGCAGTCACACCTAAACACATACCAGTTAATGATATAATTGCCCAAGTAGACGTTGCTCTCAGGGGCCTGGGTCACATCGCTGCAGACGTAGCAAGATCTGAAATCGCTGCAACCCTCAAAAACGCTAAGATGCCAGCTAGCAACCTCAGCAAAGATGAGCGTTTTGAAGTATATAAATTAAAAAGAGGGATGATATTGTAGTCCTCTCAGCTGACAAGGGCAATGCTACTGTCATCATGGATAAAATAGAATACAACAACAAAATTAAAGAATTACTCGACGATGGTAGTTATACAAAAATAAAAAGAGATCCCACCAACAGCCTCGTCACACAAACCAACAAAATAATTTCTGATTCAACCGCATTAATTGATCAATCTAAACAGTTTTCGTTGAAACCTTCTGCTGCCAGGCCACCAAGATTATACGGCTTACCAAAAATACATAAAGTAGATACACCCCTTCGTCCCATCGTCTCTACTATCAACTCCCCCACCTACAAACTGGCTCGTTTTTTGTCTGAAATCTTGCGTCCTTTCACTGGAAAAACCACCTCTGCGGTACAAAATTCTACTCACCTGGTATCGACAATCAAGGGTATTTCCCTGTCCCCAGACGACCTGCTTGTTTGTTTTGATGTAGTTTCCTTATTCACCAAGGTTCCTGTACCTGACATCATCGCAATCATTGAAGACTTGGTTCATCAAGGACTAAACACTGAGGTACCCCCCCTGGTGAGACACTGTTTAACCAATACATACTTCACTTGGAATGGAACTTTCTACAAACAAACTGAGGGCACCCCAATGGGCCCCCCCCCTATCTCCGGTTATAGCTAACATTTTCATGGAGAAATTTGAGACTGACGCCATCCAGACTGCCACTCTGCGCCCAACCTTATGGAAGAGGTACGTGGATGACACTTTTGTCATCTGGCCACATGGCCGGCCTGCTCTAGACCAATTCTTCGACCACATCAATTCCATACACCCAGCCATCAAATTTACCATGGAAGTCGAAAAAGATGGCAAGCTACCTTTTTTGGATGTCCTAATTAAAAAGAGACCTGATGGTTCAATGAGCCACTCTGTCTACAGGAAAGCTACCCATACGGATGCTTATCTGAAACCGGATTCCCACCACCATCCATCACAGAAGAATTATCTCATCAAGACTCTGTATCATAGAACTCAATGCATATCCGACCAGGAACACATAGGCAGTGAACTCAAGCACATACACCAAGCTCTTAAGGCTAATGGTTACTCCGACTATACAATCCGCAAAGCTATCACTCAAACCATGAAGAAGGACCCTCTTGAGGAGCCTTTCAAAACCATCACTTTACCCTACATTGCGGGGATCACAAAAAAGATCTCCAAAATCTTGAATAAACACAACATCCAGGTCAGTTTCAACACATTACATAAATTCCGTGATCTGGTTCCATCTGTAAAAGATGTGATTCCGGGCATACAGTACCCTGGTGTCTACAAACTAAGTTGCCTCTGTGGTAGTAGTTACATTGGAGAAACCAAACGCCATGTCTCGGACTGCATTCGTGAACACAAAGCAGACCTTAAACACGGTAGGACCAACACCTCGGCCGTGGCAGATCATTGTTATAATTCAGTAGGCTCACATGACGTTGACTTTTCCAAGACAGAGGTTATTTGTAAGCCATCTGGCTACCATGAGAGATTCGTTCATGAGGCTATCCACATATCCAAGCACAGAGACAATTTCAACCGAGAAGATGTATTCTGGCTTAGCAATCATTGGAAAGATTTGATAAACCATTTCAGGTCTTAATTGATTGTTCACGCTTACAGTGGCTTTCAGACAGCATACATTAATTTTTCGTCTCCCCCCTCCTCTTTTCAGAACATAGATGGACTAGTCCTTCAAAATAAACTGCCAAATTGCTGCGCGTGGCGCTGACGTTTTTTTTTTATAAATAAATACACCGCTTAAAAATAAATAAATTAATGCAAACCGATACACCTGATGATGACCGTTTGTGTTATGGTCGAAACGTCGTGAGAATTTTTATTGTTTTATATATTTTATTATTTTATGTTTCCCTTCAACGTGACTTTACCGAAAGAGCTAAGAATATGAATTACTGCAGACACGAAAGCTTTAAATCAAAATTTAACAATAAATATATTTATGCTTTTATGACCACAGCAATTATTCAAATGTGTAAATTATGACTGCTTGCGGAGGATTTAATCGAGCAGTGGATTGATCATGGCTGGTCTCCAGCGGGGCTAGCACCCCCATCAACAAACCGCCACCGCCTCTGCTAAATATTGACACAGAAATGAAATATGTGCTTCAATCATATAATTATGCCTTAAGCATTCTTCTTTAAAGTAAGGGTTTGACACATGATAGCCAATAGTCACACCTACACGATATGTACGTGCAGTACTGTACAGGAATGCGTACGATGTGCACTTCCCTCACATTTTGGCGGGGTACAACTTAAGTGAAGAACAAGTGCTGTGGATTTTTCTGGATTGATCGTTGGCGTTGCAGGATGGTGACACAGTGATGGCTTGGGGGAGGCCTTATCCATCCAGCAGTGGATTGATCATGGCTGATGCACTGTAACGTTTAATTATCAACCAAATTTACGACGACATTTTCTACACGGAGACGTCATGTCGAAAGCAACAGAAGTGCAAATCAGGAGTGGGGCAAGGAGATATGCGCGCACCCAAGGCATTTCATAGCGACACTCAAAGTGGTTTCTTCCGCAATTAGTTTAGGAGAAATTAACACGTAAACACGCCACGGTCCCGATATGTTAACTACCTCGCATGGTATATAGGAGGTCGTGGGTTCGACCCGTACCCTGACACCTGTATATTTAGAGTTTGCATGTTCTCCCGGTGGTCGCGTGGATTTTTACTCCGGGTCCCTTCACATTTAGAATGAACGTGCGTTTGGAGTATTTGGCCGCACTAAATTTCCACGTGATAAGCCACTTTGTTGAGCTACGAATTCTGGCAAGGTCGCGTCTGAAAAAGAGCTATATAGCTCAGTGGGTCTTACGTGGTAAAATAAAAAGAATACAGTGGTTTAGTAATAGTTTAAATATTGCACTTGCACAACGAAGGTCGCCAATTCGAATTGGCAAATGCTTCTGTCCACCCCAACGGTAGAGATGGATAGACCATTTATATTAGTCGACTGGCACGTCGAGTGTGGCGCGGTGGGGTAAAGTGTGGGCAGTGACCGACTGGGACTCAAAAGCGGCCGAGACATTTGTAAACACACCGGGACAAATTTGGGCTCTGGGCAATTATTTGGTTTGGTTTAAATGGGTTGTGCGATGACAAATTATATCGCACTAGTCGCTAGATTTGCGATTTGACGACATATTTGCATGATTTTGCCGTGCGATCCCATTGGCCCATTTGGGCTTGTCCGAAAGATAAATGGGCCGCTTCCGAATATGGGACTTAATGTCAACTAGAGAGCGTAAATAAGCAATGAAGCGTACACATTAGAGGTAACACAATATTTTCATTAAAAAAAATATCATTTTAAAACTCACTGATCACATTTGCAATTTCCCCACACAGACCTGCCCACCAGCCCTCGGAATGGACCGGCCCACTGGGCATTTGCCCGGATTGCCCTGTGGCCTGAGTTGTGGGGGTTTTCCCAACGCTTCCCGGACGTCTGGCCAGTGTGGAGGAGTAGGCCAACTACTCTGTAGAGGAGATCTCGAGAGCTCCCTCCAGTGGAGGAGAGGTGGTGGTGCAGCACCGGTAATCCAGCACTGTGGAGGCAGTGAGGGTTGATGGATCGCCGCACGGATGTTGTTGTCACACTCCCCGTAGGCGTCGAGGAAGATGCCATACCCCTGGCTCGCCAGGCGAAGGCGGTACTGCAAGTGTGGACTAATCGCCATCTGTATCCATCTGTACGGGGTTTTGTCTCAGGGTGCTCCGGTTTCCTCCTCCCACGTGGATAATGAATAACACTAATCATTCATTGGCTGAAAAAAAAACACAATGTAGCAGCAGGACTTTTCTGCAGATGTATTCCTACCACTCAGTGCGGCTCTCCTGGGCAAATTCATTATAGGTTTGTTCGCCAGTGCGAGCGACCACTTGCAGGGCTGCGCTTGTACCCCCTGCACGTTCATGCCGATCACGTGGGCTTAGGGCCCCTCCCCTCACAGCCCAATGCATAACAATGGCAGCGGGGGGGTGGTGGTGGGGGGGCTTGCACCCCCACCCCTCGCGTCACGTGACCTGCACGTCGCCGCTACCACATTATCACGTGACGGGCTCTGCCAGTATTACGTCACCGCGACGCGACGCCATTGGTCGAGAACGCGCGGCCTTGGGGTGGGGGCTCCGATGGAGGAGGGGCGGGGTCAGTGAGGGTCGGCGCGGATCTCGCGAGACTTGGGGCTCACGTTCTCGCGAGAGCTGCTGTGGTTGACGTCACTGCGAGCGCCTATGGCAGGAGGACGAGGAGAGAAGAGGTGTGGAGCTGAACTCTCTCCCTTCGCGCTCCCCGCTACGCCACCGCTATCTCCGCGCTCCCTCAGCGCTCCCCCTTCACTCCTCCGCTCTCCTTTTACGTTCCCACAGCCACCGATCTCCACCTCGTCCCCCCCCCTCTCTCCGCTCTCCCTCCCCTTGACTCTTCTCCCAACGCTCTCCCCTCATTCTTCCCTCCTCTCCTCCCTCTCGCGCTCTCTCCCTTCACCCTCTCCTCTCGCTCTCCCCGCTTTCTCTTCACTCTCCCTTTCCCCTCGATCCCGCACGCTCCCCCCCCACCTCTCTCCCCTCACACAATCCTTCCCCCAGCCTCTGCCCCTGCGTTCTTCCCCGCTCTCCCCCTCGCTCTCCTCCCCACTCTTCCCGCTGCCTCCCCTCATGATCCGCTCCCTCCTCACTCTCCGCTCCGCCCCTCGACTCTTCTTTCCCCGTCTCTCCCTCTCACTTCTTCCCTTGCTCATCAACGTGTGCCCGCTTCGAACTGCCCCTACCCCCGACCCCATCAACCTCCAGTTCCATCTCCGCTGTCTTTCCATCTTCCATCACCTGCCCTCCCTTCTTCCCCTGCCCTCCCCTTCTTCCCCTGCCCTCCCCTTCTTCCCCTGCCGTCGCTCTCCCCTTCACTCGCACTCCCCTTGCTGCCCGGCGCGTAGCGGCGCAGAGACATCGGGGCGCGGGGGTCGTGGAGCGGTGATGATGTGCGAAGGGTAACGGTGTGGCTGAAATGTGATGGTGTTGCGAGCTTGTGATGCATCCTTATGGTGTGAACTGTGGTGGTATGAATGAGCTGTGTGGTGGTTTGGACTGTGATGGTGTGAATTGTGATGGGGTGTGCTGTGATGTTAATGGGTGTTATCGAACCGTTATGGTGTGAACTGCGGTGGTGTGGATTGTGATGGTGTTATTATTGACCCGTGATGGTGTGAACTCTGGTGGTATGAATGAACTGTGTGGTGGTTTGGACTGTGATGGTGCGGAACCTAATGGTATGGATTGTGAAGGTGTGATTGAACTGTGGTGGTTTGAACTGTGATGCTGTGAATTGTGATGGGGTGAGCTGTGACGTTAATTGGTGTGATTGAACCGTTATGGTGTGAACTGGTGGTATGAATGAACTGTGGTGGTTTGGACTGTTAAGGTACGGAACTTAATGGTATAGAGTGTGATGGTGTCATTGAACTGTGATGCTGTGAATTGTGATGGGGTGAGCTGTGATGTTAATGGGTGTGATTGAACCGTTATGGTGTGAACTGCGGTGGTGCGGATTGCGATGGTGTTATTATTGATCCGTGATGGTGTGAACCCTGGTGGTATGAATGAACTGTGTGGTGGTTTGGACTGTGATGGTGCGGAACCTAATGGTATGGATTGTGATGGTGTGATTGAACTGTGGTGGTTTGAACTGTGATGCTGTGAATTGTGATGGGGTGAGCTGTGATGTTAATGGGTGTGATTGACCCGTTATGGTGTGAACTGCGGTGGTGTGAATGAACTGTGGTGGTTTGGACTGCGATGGTGCAGAGCTTAATGGTATAGAGTGTGATGGTGTCATTGAACTGTGATGCTGTGAACGGTGACAGTGTAGATTGTGATGGCGTGAACTGTGATGGTGTGATTGAACTGATAGTGTGGACTGTGATTTTGCAGACTTTAACGGCATGGATTGTGATGCTGTGATTGTGATGGCGTGAACTGTGGTGGTGTGATTGAACTGATGGTGTGGACTGTGATGGCGTGGACTGTGATGGCGTGGGTTATAATGGTGAGAACGATGATGGTGTGGACTGTGATGGTGTGAAATGTGATGGTGTGGACTGTGATGATGTAAATTGTGATGATGTGAATTGTGTTGTGATGGTGTGAACAGTGGTGGTATCAATGACCTGTGATTTGGATTATGGTGGGGTGGAATGTAATGGTGTGAACTAGGGTAGGTTGAAACTAATGGTGTGGACTTTAATGGTATAAAACTGATGGTATGAGCTGTGACGGTATAAACTGCTGGTGTTAACTATGATGGTATGGATTGTGATGATTTGAGATTTGACGATGTAAACAATTATGGCCTTCATGAAACCATGATGGTGTAAGAATCTGATTTGGTAACTCTAATGGTATGCAATGTGATGGTTAGTCTACTGTGATGGAGTGTGAACTGCGACAGAGTGTGAGGCTACGTGGCGTATTTCTGCAAGCAAGGGACGGCGTACATGAGCTCGGATAGCCAGGCTTTGTGCGGTGTTCCTCACCACGCCGTGCCACCGCTCACCTCTCCGCTCTCGTTTCGCCTCCCATTCCAGGCCCGGAATCAGCGGAGCTCGGTGACCTCACACCGCAGCATCGCAGGGAGTGCCGTCTCACCAGTGACTGCGCCAGGGCCATCTTAGCGGCTTCTCCTACGAGGCCATACTGTTAGGCCACACCACCGATCTGCCCATTCGTTGTTCACCGTAACTGGGTCACCGAACGCGGACTCCATTTTATACGATCGCGCTACCGGGCCTCCCGATCAGACCCCTCTTGCACGGCCACCCTACTGGCCTGGCCGCTTGTGCGGGCCACCGTACCCAGCCACCTTAGCTGCTGGCCATCCCCGCTGGTTATCCCGGAGCCATCTGCCCTTCCCAACCACTCTAGCAGGACACCCTTACCCGGTCGCACTTCCACGCTTAGCGGCCACCAAATTCCCCTGGGGCAGTCACGCAGTGGAGCCACGATGGAAGCACAGGCCAAGTATGACTTCACTGCCACGGCTGACGACGAGCTGAGCTTCAAGAGGGGCGACGTGCTGAAGGTAACAGGGGACACGGGGGCATGGGGGGCAGTCTGCCGCTACGCAGGACCCAAGTGTCACATTTTTTGGGGGGAGCTTTGTGCCCCCTTAGGTAGACGTAGAATACCGTCAGCCTTTTACTTAGACTGCGGGTGGGTCCAGTACAACCCCTGGCTCTGCTGTTGTCACTTAGACAATGTCACATTGTGCACAGGCTCTGCCTATACTTCCCCCCTACCCCCACCGCCCCCTTAATCTTACTCCCTGTGCCACCGCGTGGTGTCTTGGCGTGATCAGGTGATCAACGAGGACTGCGACCAGAACTGGTACAAGGCAGAACTCAACGGCAAGGATGGATTCATCCCCAAGAACTACATCGAGATGAAGCCGCACCCGTAAGTGGCACCAGCAGGTGGGCAGTAGCCCAGCTGGAGACGCGGGTGGCCACAGTGCTGCCGTGCTGGTGAAAGGGGTAGGCGGGAAAATGATTGGCAGCTCGGGTTGGCACAGTGGCCCCCTTGCTAGTGAATGGACTTGCTGAAAGAGCAGCTGTGTAGGGCAGCATGGGTGGGCACGGTGCCCCCCTGTGCTAGTGAACGGGCTTGCTGAGAAGGCAGCCGTCTAGGGCAGCACGGGTGGGCTTGATGCCCCCCGTGCTGGTGAATGGGCTGGTTGAGAAGGGCAGCATTGACGGGCACGGTGCTCCTGGTGCCGGTGAATGGGCTGGCTGAGAGGGCATCCGTGCAGGGGGCAGGATGGGGGGAAGTCGTGGTTGAGTCAGCTCTGCCAGGGGTCGGTCGTCGAAGGATCGTCCGGGCATCCCGTTTTAAATGCTGTTGCAAGTGACGAGGCTCGTGACCGTTCACCGGCACCGCCCGGGCAATTTAGTAACTTCTCAATATTCGGGGTTGTGATTTGATTTAACTATAATCGGTTATAATGGTTTGGTGTTTAAAAAAAAAAGAATCTCATTTCCTTTCATCTTCTTTCCATCTTCTTCTTGTTCCTTTAGCCTAAACCTCACAGCATATTATTTTCATGCAGATTTCATGCATTATAAGCAATACGTGTTTGCGTGCGTCATGCGCCACGTGCATCGCGAGGCTAATAATTGATCTGAATCAGTAAATTGATCGCATCGCTAAAGGTGCAAAGTTGCGTCACCCTGGTTGGTGTTCCTGAGCCAGTGGCGGAAAAATTCCACACTCTACGAGGGGGTTCAGAGTTATTCGAGATTAAGAGGATTAGGGTTTAAAGTTATGGTAAGGGTTGTGAGGTTAAAGGCCCTCGTCTCTTAATTAGAACAACTCTTGTTGACGTTTCAGTGTGTTACTTGTTTTATCGAGAACAGAGGGATGGTGGAATGAGTTGACCTCGAACTGGGATTTTTACCCAACGTTAGTGCCGTGGGTTTCAGACCAAATCGCATTACTCATTGGTACCATCTGAGATGGTTAAAAATAATATTGAGTAGTAACCAACATGCTTAAATCGCCGGTAAAAGTACATTATGCAACGTAATCCACTCTTTTTAGCCAGGCACAGAAACTGGAATCCCTAAATATTTGCCCATAGCCACAGTATCAAATTCTTCCCTGGCTGATTCACAGACTACTTGATTGCGAGTTGAGTGCCCAGGAAGGCACAGAGTTATCCAGCACCATTCTAACATGGTTAACTCGTCAGGTTGCACAGACATGAAACCCGACGCTGCATGGAAATCATTTGACAAAATCTGTGGCCAACCCCTGGGGATGGAGCCTCCGCCCCCCCCCCCCCCCAACTCATCCACTTACCCACCACTGCCCCCCCCCCACTCGCCAATTCTGCTTGGTTTCCATGACCACAAAACGGAGCTGTGCCGGCTGAGGCACAGCCCGGGCTCTGCGTCGCCACGCTCACGGTGCCCTGAAGTACCGTGAGAATTCCATCCTCTCCATCCCCATAGCCTCCACAGCTGGCAGTGGTAGGGGACGGGGTAAGTGATATTTTAAACAAGAGTTTCACGTAGGAGTGGGCCACGTTTGGCAAGAGACTATGTCGAGCTATAAAAATCTAATTTTAAAAATCACTTGATGCAAGAAGACATCTATTTTGGGTTCTGTTCATCCATAACATCCTAATTGGAAAATCTGCACTATACTCAGCTAATTCATTCACCCCATTGTCAAACCCAAGAAACCTAAGACGTCCATCTAATTGATTTTAAATATCCCAAGAACAAGAATAGGAATGTGACAAAGCCTTTGCTGTTGCAGCACCAACGTTTTGGAACAAACCTTGTTTCCTCCCTTAACACTGTAAATCTTCCTTCAAATAAATATTCTGAAGCAAAAGATTAGTGCCGGATACAACTGAATTTGCAAATGTCATTTAACTTTCATGCTTACCCCATGTATCTATAGTTCAATTTTAATGTGCAATTTTATTGAGAGACTGTGTGTTGTCTTGGTGTGGTCTGGTACTGTTTTTGCTGTTTTGCTGCCTTACCCAAGTATATAAGTGCAATTTACGTATTTATTTGTAGTGATTGGCTTTCTTTTCCTATACTTTGCATTCTGATAATTTTTTTTGTATTATTGTAACTTTCTGACCTGCCCCCTACTGCTTTTTGTGTTTAGTTTGTCGTTCTTCCCCCGCACCTCCGATTATCACGATTGCTACATACAGTGCAAAATAAGTTATATATACATCACCACAACTACCACCACCACGGCATCACTACTACCACCACCGATCAACACCAGTATGGAAGGCTTACTGCTGGCAAGAGGCCACAGGGCAGGCCCAGGTGTTGTGGGTGTGGGTTCTGGGAATTGCTTTGCAGTTACACCATGCGTACCCCCCCACCCTCACCCCCCACTGCTCACCGCGTCTGTGAAAAAGAGCTTCATAGCTCATCGTATTTCTCCAGGATAAAGATTATGATTCTAGGAGTGCTGGCGTAGCGATCGGCATGCTGTCCTTTGAAGCTTAAGTCAAAATCCCAGCCACGGCCAGTCTCAGTGGCAACCGATACCTGAGTTCATCCTGGGCCTCAACCTGCAACCGTTTCCGACCCATACTTATTAGTGTGGTGAAGGATGGTCCAACAACTGTCTGTGGCTGACACTTTTTGGAGAGGCGCTCATCTAGCAGTCACTGTACGTTTTGTTTGTTACATCATTTAACACCCAACGCGGCAGGGGAGATAAATCAAGTAATTGACGTCACGGCACGAGCGTCTCTTTATGTCCACCTCGACCCCCGTCCGGTCCCTGATGATTATTATGGATGTTCTTACGTGGAGTCGTAACGCTCATGGACCTGAGCAGTGGTGGCGAGCTGCACACCGCTACCCTTGCCCTGCAAACCCTGGTTAGCCCAGCTCTTGTGTTGTGGACACAGCCCGATGCCTGCACTGAGCCGGACCGGTTTTGACCGGCCGTAAAAACGCAGCAGTCTCTGAGCGCCACCACTGCGCCAACCCTGACCACTCTCGCCTCGTCCCCTCTGTTGTTGGCGCCGCCGCCGCCGCACTCCCTTTCGGCCGTGCGATCGCTCGCGCTTGCGCAAGTGATGACGGATAGTGGGGGCCGCACGGGGGTGGGGGGGGGGCGACGTCTGCTTTCCCCGTTCGGTTTCGGTCGCAGTGAGACAAGCCCGGGGGGGGCCCGTGCTGTGTGAGGTTTCGGAAAAGAGACGTTTGCAGCTGTGGTTGCAGCCATTCTGTTACGTTTTGTCACGTTCATATGGACGGGGGTGGCTGAAGTGCTTTGCCACCTCTCTGGCTGTTTCCAGATTGGGGTTGTGGTTTTTTAATCTTTTTTTATATTAACCCGCAGCTACTTTTCCATTTGTGGTCGTACCCTACGGCACTTTGCCTCGTGTGACGCAGTGCGCCCTTTCCGGAGCAGCTAAAACGTTGGTGAAATTTGTTCAGGTGCCAATCTGATAAGAGATTTGTGAAGTCACCCGCCCGCTCCTCCGGTGGACGTGATGCCGCACCTGCGATTCAGTGCTTTGTGGACCGTGCGGAGATGTGTAACATTCCCAAACCCACTAGGGCTGTGCAGTGGTCGGGAGATAGCGGCGATCCAATAAGTTGCTTTCACAAACCCGTCCATGCGGGCCCCTTGGAATTTTATTCCCCTCGTGTGTGGATTTTCTCCGGATTTCTCTGCACACGCAAGCCACGTTTCTAGACGCCGCGGAATTGTTCAAACCTGCCAACACAGAATGCTCCTGGAAAAGGATCTCAAGACTCCTTGGTGCTCTTCTGGACAAATAAATTACCTTCAACCGTTTGAATAAGGAGTCTGTATCACCTTGACATTTTCCAGCTGGCTGCGGGCAGTTCGATTGCGAGTCCACAGCAGTTTCCACATGCTGATGACACAATCGTCGCATGCCAGTGCGGGGAGGTGGAGGAGGGGCGGGGCAGGATGGGAGGGATGACTCGTAATTTGCTGGTGAACTCGTGGGCAGCTCCTAATCGCTCGGCCGAGCCGGTTGTTGGTTGGCTGTTATAGCATGCGGGCAGCTGCCCTTGCCCGCTAGCGGCCGGGGCCACCGCCGATACAGTCGCTGTGTGCCGTAAGTTGTTTTTAGCAGCATGGTAGGCAAATCGATGTGTGCTTCCTTCCTCCCACGTGCGATCGCTTCCCCTCGGAATGCGGCCGAAAAACGTTGTTGCAATCTCGCTCAACAGACGTGTGGTTTATTTTAAAGTGACTTGGACGCTTATCGAACGTTTGGTATTTCCTCTTCTCTGAGCTGGCAGAAAAAAAAACCCCTGTTGAAAAGCTCGCATTGGCAAGGACCGATTAGCGGCGCAAAAGTCGGCCAGGGATTTGAAATAACGTTTTTATTTTAACGAAGACAAGCAGCTGCTCGTGGAGGTCCACAAGGCATCTCCCGCAAGCGTGAGGGAGGCGATTTCTAAGAAATTACTGCCACGTCCGCGGTATCCATCCGCGGTTGCCCGCTTGCCCGGCCTCTCTGGACAGTGTCCGGGAACTGGCGCTACGGCTGCTTCGTCTCGACCGGTGGATCAGCTCTCTGCGTCACCCGCCTTGGGATGTCGAATGATCACGGAAGCGCCGATTCGTACGTCGCTCTTGCTGGTTTAGCACGCGCGGACTTGAAGCGAGTGTTTGAAATGTCTCGTTACCGTGTTAGCACTGTTTCCGCTATTTAAGACACCTTAAGCTGGTGTGATAAGCAGCTTGCTTCGTGTGATGGGTCAGGCAATCCCCAGTGTCTGGTTTTCGGTCGTTGATGCTGCTACTGCTGTTTGGGGACGGTGTTAGTAAAATGGCATTAGAGAGACGAGATGTTTCTCCCCTAAATTATCCGGCCGGGGTGGAAATACGGCGGAGCGCACGACTCGTTAGGTTCAGGCGCCAGAGTTAAGCATCTCTACTGCGGGCTCAAGTGCAAGGTGGATAAGATAATAACCACTTTTGTGGAATCCAACAGTTCCGCGCTCTCTCTCTCTCTTTGGAGAGAACAGCCCCTCCTGGCATCGGAATGTGGAATTTCCGCCGCTGGTTTGGGGCTGTAAATAGATAGGGGCACCGTCCAGGAACACTCTCGTTAGTGCGCAGGAGCACTCTCGTTTATTGTTGCGATTGGATTCAAGAATCGATATTTTTCCCGCTTTTGCCGGCCGCTTTTTTATTAACCTGAACGTAGTACGAGCGCGTCGCTCACATTGCAATCGGCGCACGTCTCAAATCAGCGACTCTCGTTGGCTCCTCTCCGTACAGGTACTGTGAGCCTATCAATATTTTTCTTTCTCAACGAATCAACGTGTCGTTTGTGGCTTACATGTCATCTCCCGTTTACAGTCCCCCCCCCCTGAGCTGATGGGGGAAATTCCACATTCCTGTGACAGGGGCGAGTTGATCCATAAGATGACCACTGTTGACTTGCCCACAAAGCGGTACTCATTTTATAGACTCTGGGAGGGACGACGGGGGGTGAGTCAAACCCACAACCAGAATTTGAGTTCACAAAACCTTCCGATCACGAGCTGCTCTCTATCCCGCTGAGCGACCTGGCTGCGTTACAGCGATCTTCGCCGTGATAAATAAAACCAGCGTGGGTTCCTCTGTCACTCGGCAAGGGGCGGGGGGGGGGGGGCGCGGGCGGGGGGGGGGGGCCGCGGTCGGTGGCGGGCACTAGGGTGGGGGCGGTGGGTGTGGAGCAGATGCGCCTTGCCCCCCCCCACCCCGCCCTTCCTCTCCCCGCGCAGCTGCCCGTGGCGAATGCCGCGACTGCGCGGCCCCTAAATGGGAGCACGGCGCACTTGCCTGCGACACAGCTGCTGGTCCCGGGGACATCGCTCGCAGATGAACCGCGCGCTCAAAAATACTCCCCCCCCCCCCCCACTCATTGCCGCCACGGCTCACGGATCCGTTACAAATGTGGCGGTGGCTTCGACGGCGGCGGTGGCGGCCCTAGCACGCGTGGTGTCAAGGGGCAACAGTGGCGAGATGTTAACTACCTCGCCTGGTATACAAGAGGTCGTGGGTTCGATACCCACCCTAACGCCTGTATATTTGGAGTTTGCGTGTTCTCTCTCCCTGTGGTTGTGTGGATTTTTTTTCGGGATCTCCGGTTTTTCCCTTCTGCATTTAGAAACGTGTGTTCAGAGAATTTGGCTGCTACTACACATTTCTACGCGATAAGCCACTTCGATGAGCTATCGTTTGTGGCCAGGTTGCTTCTGAAAGAAGAGCTATATAGTTCAGTGGGCCTTACTTGGTAAAAGTAAAACTAGTTTATACGTATTTTTTTGCTTTATGAAGTCGTCTTCGTTGCGCCGGGCATCTCCGCGCGTTGTGCAATGGCACAGGTGTGGTAAACCAACCACCTGCCCACCCCCGCACCACCGCCATTCCGTCAGTTGTCACATTTCGGGAGCGTCGCGATTGCATCCGAGATAGCTAATTATTTTGGTATCGTTCGTACTGCCCTGTTGGTTCCCGCACCGCTTGTTACGTTCGTCCAGAGTCGTGGTTCTCATAGTGCGGTCCCTGGACCCACCGGTGGTCCGTGACGTTGAATTTTAAAATAAAGTTAAGTAAACTACCCTGATTAATCTACCATAAATCTAAGATCTAAAGCCCCCTCCCCCCCCCCACCCTCCTTAACAAAAAAAAACCTCATAGCTGCGTTAATGTACATAAATTTTTTTATGTTTCGGTAATATGAATAATATTGTATTCGTGGTATTTAGAGAGAGAAGTGAATGCGTTTTGTCATCAGGGGTGGAGGGGCTGGGTGGTCCCTGGGCCTAAAAAGTTTAGAGAACCACTGGGGGTAATCGTCCCTCGCGCCCGCGGCACGGTGCGTGCGTCCTGATGGTGGAGAATCGAGTTGACACGATAAATCGTTGCCGGCCTCGCGAACGGGGGAATCGGAGGCGACGTTCCGACGTCAAAGTGTCTCCCTGTTCTAAATGTGCGACGTGGCAGCACTCGCCGAGATGGCAGTGGAAATCCCACAGTCATGTGGCAGGGGGCCAGGACAGTGATAGTGTTAGGTTAGAGGTGACTGCGCCTTGTGTAGCCGCATGGATGGGCGAGCGAGTGTATTTGTGTCAAAGGGTGTGTGTGTTATTTGTGGGAGCGGTAGTGTAGTGGTTAGCGCGCTGCGTTATGAGTGTGTGTGTGCGCGAGTGGGTGGATGTGAGTTTGAGAGTGAATGTGTCATTGAGTGAGCAAGTGCATGAGTGGGTGAGTGTGAGAGTCAGGAGCGGTAGTGTAGCGGTTAACACGCTGAATCACGAACCAGGCAACCTGAGTTCGATTCCCGCTCACTGCCAACACCAGTGACGACTATCTGAACCAGTCCTGGGCCTCCCCTAGGTCGACTCGGTCTCAAATGAGTACCTGGTGCAATGTGTAAACATCGCCACTGGGGAGACAAAGGCGGTCGGGCGTGGTACTGGCCACCACCCCCTCGTGTGCTGTGCTGGCCTTCATAGGTGTTACTTGCGAACAGCACTTGCCCAAGCAGTCTGTTCAGGCTTTTTTAATATGCTCCTTCAACCCTATTCATACGTTTCATTTAGTAAATAATTCTGTAAATATATTGTCTTCTGCTGCTGTTACTGTACAGCGCTTTGAGATCCTTGATGAAAAGCGCTATATGAATGTTATTATTAGTATATAAGGAATGTTTGTCTTTGTTGTGTACACTTTTGTGCATGATGTGTACACGGTGGTATGTGCGTGTTAAAAGACGGCCACTGCATCGCGCAATTTCAGATGCGATTCTGCGGCCATCTGGAATTCTCTTCCGATATTAGGAAGCCACTGGAGCAATGCACTTTTAAATCTATATTGAAAACGAATTCCTTTAAAACTGCTTTTTGTGTTTAGTTTGTTTTCCTTCCCCTGCACCTCCGATTAGCACGGTAGGCTACGTTTGGTGCGAAAGAAGTTAAACATATAATAATAGGGTTTTTCCCCTTTTTTCTGGCAACAAAACTGAAACCTTTTCCAAGGATTCATGTCTGCATTAACCACAATACCTGCAGTCAAAATGCAAACAAAAAACCTAGTATGATAATATATGCATTGTCCTTGAAACTGATTGGTCCACACCAAGGGACGGCTTTCTTTTGAGCCTCGACCCAATTGGTGCTCGACCAGATGACGCCAAAAGGCGTACAGCTCAAAGACAATGCACTATCAAAGTAATGAAGGCTCGGGGTGAGCATCTTACATCATTAGACCTCCTTTGCCAGTACCAAAATATAATAATAGGGGTTTTCCCCTTTTTTCTGGCAACAAAACTGCAGTCAAAATGCAAACAAAAAACACACTGATAATATATGCATTGTCCTTGAAACTGATTGGTCCACACCAAGGGACGGCTTTCTTTTGGGGAAAAACCCTATTATATTTTGGTACTGGCATAGGAGGTCTAATGTTGTAGATGCTCCCCCCCAGCCCTCATTACTTTGATAGTGCATTGTCTTTGAGCTGTACGCCTTTTGGCGTCATCTGGTCGAGCACTAATTGGGTCGAGGCTCAAAAGAAAGCCGTCCCTTGGTGTGGACCAATCAGTTTCAAGGACAATGCATATATTATCATAGTGTGTTTTTTGTTTGCATTTTGACTGCAGGTATTGTGGTTAATGCAGACATGAATCCTCGTAAAAACGTTTCAGTTTTGTTGCCAGAAAAAGGGGAAAAACCCTATTATTATATTTTGGTACTGGCAAAGGAGGTCTCATGATGAAGTTCAACATACATACAACAACATACACACACGGTGGTGTCTGTGTTGTGTACACTCTTGTGCGTGGTGATGTGTGTGTATATTGTGTACCCGTGCGTGTTGTGTACACTTGTGCGTGTGTGTGTGTCTGTGGTTCCACAGCTGGTTCCACGGACGCATCTCGCGCGCCAAGGCCGAGGAACTGCTTGCATCCCAGCGCAACGATGGCGCCTTCCTCGTGCGGGAGAGCGAGAGCTCTCCTGGGGACTTCTCCCTCTCCGTCAAGTGAGCACTGCCCCCTGCCTCCGCAGCTCCCTCTGGTTCTCCCATCTCTCCATGGCTCTCTCTCCAATTCCAGGGGGTTGTCGGACAACCAAAATAACACGAAGGCATTTTTTTTCCTTACAAATTTGGTCAGTGATAACAATATTTTGAGAGCTTCAGTGTCACGCGAATACGAGATGGCGGCCTTTAATAAATAGTGTCCCGGAACTGACCGCTGCCCTACGCGTATACAACTCTTACCTGCTCTCCAGCAGCTCTCTAGCTTTTCCAGAGTTCCCCACGTCTTCCCAGCTCTTCCTACGTCTAACCAGCTCTCTCATCTCTCCACAGCTAAACTATTTAAAACAAAACTTTTTTTTATTTTACCAAGTAAGGGCCACTGAGCTGTATAGCTCTTTTTCAGAAGCGATCTGGCCACATATGATAGCTCAACGAACTGGCTTATCATGTGGAAACGTATAGAAGCCAAATACTGTAAACGCACGTTTCTGAATGTAGAGGGAAATAAAACAGAGGAACCAGAGAAAAATCCACGTGACCGCAGAACGAGAGAACATGCAAGCTCCCAATTATGCAAGTGTCTAGAGTTGGGATCGAATCTTTGACCACCTGTACGCCAGGCGAGATGTAAATATCTCGCAAATGTGGCGAGATGTTAACTGCTGTCTTCTCCCTCTTCATCAGGAGAGCTTCCGACGTCCCCAACCCCCCTAAGTTCTTCCCAAAGCTGACATCCCTCACGTTTTTTCCCATGTCCCTCCGGCTGTCCCGGCTTCCTTTTTCTCGACCGCAAAATCCTCCCCGACTGACCCCAGCACCTCGAAGGTCTCCTGTCTCCTCTTGGGCACTCTTCCCCTCTCTGCGAAGTAATCGTCACATTCCCCACCCCACCCCTCACTCGCGCACCGCTCATCTCATCTCTCTTCCTCCCCCCCCCCAACCCCGTGCTCCCTCCTGGCCCCCGCTCGTGTTTGGCCAAAACCTATCGACGCTGCACCTCGATGAGTCGGTGCAGTTTTGCCCGTTGTGGTGATCATCAGTGCTGTCTTGTCCCCGCCCTCTGCACTCTGGCGGGGGTGCAACTATCTATTTCAATGGGGGGGGGCTATGCAAGATACGACTGTGGGCCCCTCCTCCTTTCTCCCAACTCACTTTTGTATTGCAGTAAATCTGATATATTCATTGCATCAATGTGTGTGCAATTTGTAAGGGCGCGGTGACACAGACCTATTTCATTTTAAGGTTGTAATCCCCTTGTTCATCACGACGTCCTTTTTACTTCGGTGTCTCGACAGCGTTATGGAGATCGCGTGACGTGAGGGTTCTGCCTTCGTAGTGAGGGTTTTGAGTTGACGCCGAGGAGGCGCCTCGGCCCCCCATGTGGAGTGACGTCAGCCGCTAATTATTATTAATGGGGGGGGGGGTGTTCATTTGGAGGACGGCACCTGTTAATGATTATTAATGAGGGGGGCTGTTCGATATGGAGTGATGTCACCTGCTCATGATTATTAATGAGGGGGGAGGGTGCTCCATGTGGAGTGATGTCACCTGCTCATGATTATTAATGAGGGGGGGGGGTCCATGTGGAGGACGTTACCTGCTCATGAATATTAATGAGGGGGGCTGGTCGATGTGGAGTGACGTCACGAGCGTTAAGGACAGACATTCCTGGGTGATTGTAGTAGGTATTGGTGGAATCTTTTCAATAATTTTTCTAAATTTTTGTACTCGTCTATCTATTGATTCGTGGGCCCCCTTGTGACTGACTGGGCCCCTATTCGTCGCATCATGCTGCCGCATAGCCCGCCCCCATAGTTGCGCCCCTGCCCCCCCGGATGCCTCCTCCGAGGTTTTCGCCACCTGCAGGCAGAGGTGATCGTGTTTTAAATGTTGCTGCCGATCTGCTGCTCGGTGATCTGTAGGGACAGCGTCTCGTCCACGCGATGCACGTTTTTGCCAACTCTGATTGGCTGGTTACAATGCAGAATCGTGGTCGATGAGCACAAGCGCACAGGCCCGATGTGCCAAGTGGCGGGCCAGCATGAGACGGGTGGAAAGTCTCGTGTTGATGTCACTCTGGTGGGCAGTCTCGTGTTGATGTCACTCTGGTGGACAGTCTCGTGTTGATGTCACTCTGGTGGGCAGTCTCGTGTTGATGTCACTCTGGTGGACAGTCTCGTGTTGATGTCACTCTGGTGGACAGTATCGTGTTGATGTCACTATGGTGGACAGTCTCGTGTTGATGTCACTCTGGTGGACAGTCTCGTGTTGATGTCACTCTGGTGGACAGTCTCGTGTTGATGTCACTCTGGTGGGCAGGCTCGTGTTGATGTCACTCTGGTGGGCAGTCTCGTGTTGATGTCACTCTGGTGGGCAGTCTCGTGTTGATGTCACTCTGGTGGACAGTCTTGTGTTGATGTCACTCTGGTGGACAGTCTCGTGTTGATGTCACTCTGGTGGACAGTCTCGTGTTGATGTCACTTTGGTGGACAGTCTCGTGTTGATGTCACTATGGTGGACAGTCTCGTGTTGATGTCACTCTGGTGGACAGTCTCGTGTTGATGTCACTCTGGTGGACAGTCTCGTGTTGATGTCACTCTGGTGGACAGTCTCGTGTTGATGTCACTATGGTGGACAGTCTCGTGTTGATGTCACTCTGGTGGACAGTCTCGTGTTGATGTCACTCTGGTGGACAGTCTCGTGTTGATGTCACTCTGGTGGACAGTCTCGTGTTGATGCCACTCTGGTGGACAGTCTCGTGTTGATGTCACTCTGGTGGACAGTCTCGTGTTGATGTCACTCTGGTGGACAGTCTCGTGTTGATGTCACTCTGGTGGACAGTCTCGTGTTTATGTCACTCTGGTGGACAGTCTCGTGTTGATGTCACTCTGGTGGACAGTCTCGTGTTGATGTCACTCTGGTGGACAGTCTCGTGTTGATGTCACTCTGGTGGACAGTCTCGTGTTGATGTCACTGGTGGACAGTCTCGTGTTGATGTCACTCTGGTGGACAGTCTCGTGTTGATGTCACTATGGTGGACAGTCTCGTGTTGATGTCACTCTGGTGGACAGTCTCGTGTTGATGTCACTCTGGTGGACAGTCTCGTGTTGATGTCACTCTGGTGGACAGTCTCGTGTTGATGCCACTCTGGTGGACAGTCTCGTGTTGATGTCACTCTGGTGGACAGTCTCGTGTTGATGTCACTCTGGTGGACAGTCTCGTGTTGATGTCACTCTGGTGGACAGTCTCGTGTTTATGTCACTCTGGTGGGCAGTCTCGTGTTGATGTCACTCTGGTGGACAGTCTCGTGTTGATGTCACTCTGGTGGACAGTCTCGTGTTGATGCTACTCAGGTGGACAGTCTCGTGTTGATGCCACTGGTGGACAGTCTCGTGTTGATGTCACTCTGGTGGGCAGTCTCGTGTTGATGTCACTCTGGTGGACAGTCTCGTGTTGATGTCACTCTGGTGGACAGTCTCGTGTTGATGTCACTCTGGTGGACAGTCTCGTGTTGATGTCACTCTGGTGGACAGTCTCGTGTTGATGCTACTCAGGTGGACAGTCTCGTGTTGATGTCACTCTGGTGGGCAGTCTCGTGTTGATGTCACTCTGGTGGGCAGTCTCGTGTTGATGTCACTCTGGTGGACAGTCTCGTGTTGATGTCACTCTGGTGGGCAGTCTCGTGTTGATGTCACTCTGGTGGACAGTCTCGTGTTGATGTCACTCTGGTGGACAGTCTCGTGTTGATGTCACTCAGGTGGACAGTCTCGTGTTGATGTCACTCTGGTGGACAGTCTCGTGTTGATGCCACTCTGGTGGACAGTCTCGTGTTGATGTCACTCTGGTGGACAGTCTCGTGTTGATGTCACTCTGGTGGACAGTCTCGTGTTGATGTCACTCTGGTGGACAGTCTCGTGTTGATGTCACTCTGGTGGACAGTCTCGTGTTGATGTCACTCTGGTGGACAGTCTCGTGTTGATGTCACTCTGGTGGACAGTCTCGTGTTGATGTCACTCTGGTGGACAGTCTCGTGTTGATGTCACTCTGGTGGACAGTCTCGTGTTGATGCTACTCAGGTGGACAGTCTCGTGTTGATGTCACTCTGGTGGACAGTCTCGTGTTGATGCCACTCTGGTGGACAGTCTCGTGTTGATGTCACTCTGGTGGACAGTCTCGTGTTGATGCTACTCGGGCGGGGACAGTCTCGTGTTGATGTCACTCTGGTGGACAGTCTCGTGTTGATGTCACTCTGGTGGACAGTCTCGTGATGATGTCACTCTGGTGGGCAGTCTCGTGTTGATGTCACTCTGGTGGACAGTCTCGTGTTGATGCCACTCTGGTGGACAGTCTCGTGTTGATGTCACTCTGGTGGACAGTCTCGTGTTGATGTCACTCTGGTGGACAGTCTCGTGTTGATGTCACTCTGGTGGACAGTCCCGTGTTGATGCCACTCAGGTGGACAGTCTCGTGTTGATGTCACTCTGGTGGACAGTCTCGTGTTGATGTCACTGGTGGACAGTCTCGTGTTGATGCTACTCGGGCGGGGACAGTCTCGTGTTGATGTCACTCTGGTGGACAGTCTCGTGTTGATGTCACTCAGGTGGACAGTCTCGTGATGATGTCACTCTGGTGGGCAGTCTCGTGTTGATGTCACTCTGGTGGACAGTCTCGTGTTGATGTCACTCTGGTGGACAGTCTCGTGTTGATGTCACTCTGGTGGACAGTCTCGTGTTGATGTCACTCTGGTGGACAGTCTCGTGTTGATGTCACTATGGTGGACAGTCTCGTGTTGATGTCACTCTGGTGGACAGTCTCGTGTTGATGCCACTCTGGTGGACAGTCTCGTGTTGATGTCACTCTGGTGGACAGTCTCGTGTTGATGTCACTGGTGGGCAGTCTCGTGTTGATGTCACTGGTGGGCAGTCTCGTGTTGATGTCACTCTGGTGGACAGTCTCGTGTTGATGTCACTCTGGTGGACAGTCTCGTGTTGATGTCACTCTGGTGGACAGTCTCGTGTTGATGTCACTCTGGTGGACAGTCTCGTGTTGATGTCACTCAGGTGGACAGTCTCGTGTTGATGTCACTCTGGTGGACAGTCTCGTGTTGATGTCACTCTGGTGGACAGTCTCGTGTTGATGTCACTCTGGTGGACAGTCCCGTGTTGATGCCACTCAGGTGGACAGTCTCGTGTTGATGTCACTCTGGTGGACAGTCTCGTGTTGATGTCACTGGTGGACAGTCTCGTGTTGATGCTACTCGGGCGGGGACAGTCTCGTGTTGATGTCACTCTGGTGGACAGTCTCGTGTTGATGTCACTCAGGTGGACAGTCTCGTGATGATGTCACTCTGGTGGGCAGTCTCGTGTTGATGTCACTCTGGTGGACAGTCTCGTGTTGATGTCACTCTGGTGGACAGTCTCGTGTTGATGTCACTCTGGTGGACAGTCTCGTGTTGATGTCACTCTGGTGGACAGTCTCGTGTTGATGTCACTATGGTGGACAGTCTCGTGTTGATGTCACTCTGGTGGACAGTCTCGTGTTGATGCCACTCTGGTGGACAGTCTCGTGTTGATGTCACTCTGGTGGACAGTCTCGTGTTGATGTCACTGGTGGGCAGTCTCGTGTTGATGTCACTGGTGGGCAGTCTCGTGTTGATGTCACTCTGGTGGACAGTCTCGTGTTGATGTCACTCTGGTGGACAGTCTCGTGTTGATGTCACTCTGGTGGACAGTCTCGTGTTGATGTCACTCTGGTGGACAGTCTCGTGTTGATGTCACTCAGGTGGACAGTCTCGTGTTGATGTCACTCTGGTGGACAGTCTCGTGTTGATGCCACTCTGGTGGACAGTCTCGTGTTGATGTCACTCTGGTGGACAGTCTCGTGTTGATGTCACTCTGGTGGACAGTCTCGTGTTGATGTCACTCTGGTGGACAGTCTCGTGTTGATGTCACTGGTGGGCAGTCTCGTGTTGATGTCACTATGGTGGACAGTCTCGTGTTGATGTCACTCTGGTGGACAGTCTCGTGTTGGTGCTACTCTGGTGGACAGTCTCGTGTTGATGCCACTCTGGTGGACAGTCTCGTGTTGATGTCACTCTGGTGGACAGTCTCGTGTTGATGTCACTCTGGTGGACAGTCTCGTGTTGATGTCACTCTGGTGGACAGTCTCGTGTTGATGTCACTCTGGTGGACAGTCTCGTGTTGATGTCACTCTGGTGGACAGTCTCGTGTTGATGTCACTCTGGTGGGCAGTCTCGTGTTGATGTCACTCTGGTGGACAGTCTCGTGTTGATGTCACTATGGTGGACAGTCTCGTGTTGATGCCACTCTGGTGGACAGTCTCGTGTTGATGTCACTCTAGTGGACAGTCTCGTGTTGATGTCACTCTGGTGGACAGTCTCGTGTTGATGCCACTGGTGGACAGTCTCGTGTTGATGCCACTCTGGTGGACAATCTCGTGTTGATGTCACTCTGGTGGACAGTCTGGTGTTGATGTCACTCTGGTGGACAGTCTCGTGTTGATGTCACTCTAGTGGACAGTCTCGTGTTGATGTCACTCTGGTGGACAGTCTCGTGTTGATGTCACTCTGGTGGACAGTCTCGTGTTGATGTCACTCTGGTGGACAGTCTCGTGTTGATGTCACTATGGTGGACAGTCTCGTGTTGATGCCACTCTGGTGGACAGTCTCGTGTTGATGTCACTCTGGTAGACAGTCTCGTGTTGATGTCACTCTGGTGGACAGTCTCGTGTTGATGCCACTGGTGGACAGTCTCGTGTTGATGCCACTCTGGTGGACAATCTCGTGTTGATGTCACTCTGGTGGACAGTCTTGTGTTGATGTCACTCTGGTGGACAGTCTCGTGTTGATGTCACTCTAGTGGACAGTCTCGTGTTGATGTCACTCTGGTGGACAGTCTCGTGTTGATGTCACTCTGGTGGACAGTCTCGTGTTGATGTCACTCTGGTGGACAGTCTCGTGTTGATGTCACTCTGGTGGACAGTCTCGTGTTGATGTCACTCTGGTGGACAGTCTCGTGTTGATGTCACTCTGGTAGACAGTCTCGTGTTGATGTCACTCTGGTGGGCAGTCTCGTGTTGATGTCACTCTGGTGGACAGTCTCGTGTTGATGTCACTCTGGTGGGCAGTCTCGTGTTGATGTCACTCTGGTGGACAGTCTCGTGATGATGTCACTCTGGTGGACAGTCTCGTGATGATGTCACTCTGGTGGGCAGTCTCGTGTTGATGTCACTCTGGTGGACAGTCTCGTGTTGATGTCACTGGTGGACAGTCTCGTGTTGATGTCACTCTGGTGGACAGTCTCGTGTTGATGCCACTCTGGTGGACAGTCTCGTGTTGATGTCACTCTGGTGGACAGTCTCGTGTTGATGTCACTCTGGTGGACAGTCTCGTGTTGGTGCTACTCGGGCGGACAGTCTTGTGTTCGACGCTGCCGTGCGATATCGCCGCTCATTGACGAGGAATTTGCGAAGCTTCGCAGCGTAGCAGGACTCTCCTGAGAGGGAGGGATCTCGCGACTCGCCGAGGCTTTTCCCCGATGAATAATAAATGCCACAGCAATCATCGCCCAGCCTTAGAGAGTCCGCGTCTCGCCACTCAAGCGATAGTGCGGCGGTGCGCGCCTCGATGAATAATCGATGCTTTGTAAAACGTCCACACCCCAGCGATCGGCTGCTCAACTTCGGTTGCTCACGCAATGGGATTGCTTAAGTGTGGACGTCTCTGCAACCGTTTTTTTTTGCGAGCAAGTTTGCACCGCCGGTTGCTCTCACCATCACGAGGGAATCGACGTTCAAACATCGGTGATCTGCTCGGCCATTTGTAGCGTCGCGTTTCGCCGCCGCGTGCTGCGCGTTGTTGAGCGAACCCTTGATCGGCTGTCACAGTTCACAATGCGCCGTTTATTTTCCTTGGCGCGCAACTGCTCGCTCCGATGTGGACAAGGCAAGTTGCGAGCAATTTGAGTTGCGCGACATGGTTGCGCGATTTGTCGCTCGAGTGTGGGACCCGGCTTTTCATGCTGAGCGGGTCGTTTGGGGACCTGTGCTGCCAGCTACTCAGGGGACGGGGCAGGGTGTGTGGGGGAGGGCACTGTTGCCCCCCAGTGGTCGTGAATGGAAACTGCAGGTGACCCGCACGGCACAGAGAGGCAACGCAGCCGGAGTTGGGTAGTCGCTTCCACAGAAAACGGATCAGAATCGCGATTCAGTATTCGATGAAATAATTGATTTCTTGTTCATCCCATGTTTGACCTCTCGGTCGTGTTACTGCTCATATTTCGCCTTGTGCAGTCACGTTTGCTGGGGTGGCGACGTGGCCGAGCGGTGGCGTGCAGAGGTTCACGGTTGATTCTACTCGTCACCGCCCCCTCACCAACCGCTCACCTTCCCTTCCCACCCCCTGCCGTGCCAGGTTCGGTAACGATGTGCAGCACTTCAAGGTGCTGCGGGACGGCGCCGGGAAGTACTTCCTGTGGGTCGTCAAGTTCAACTCGCTCAACGAGCTGGTGGACTACCACCGCAGCACGTCCATCTCACGCACGCAGCACATCCTCCTAAGGGACATGGAGCAGCCACAGACGGTGAGGCCGCGGACGCAGTCGCCTAGGAGACGGTCACTTCAGACACGGTCGCCACGGACACGGTCGCCTAGGAGATGGTCACCTCAGACACGGTCGCCGCGGACACAGTCGCCTAGGAGACGGTCACCTCAGACACGGTCGCCGTGGACACAGTCGCCTAGGAGACGGTCGCCACGGACACAGTCGCCTAGGAGACGGTCACCTCAGACACGGTCGCCGCGGACACAGTTGCCTAGGAGACGGTCACCTCAGACACGGTCGCCACGGACACAGTTGCCTAGGAGACGGTCACCTCAGACACGGTCGCCGCGGACACAGTTGCCTAGGAGACGGTCACCTCAGACGCGGTCGCCACGGACACAGTTGCCTAGGAGATGGTCACCTCAGGCACGGTCGCCACGGACACAGTCGCCTAGGAGACGGTCACCTCAGACACGGTCGCCACAGACACAGTCGCCTAGAAGACGGTCACCTCAGACACGGTCGCCACGGACACAGTCGCCTAGGAGACGGTCACCTCAGACACGGTCGCCGCAGACGCAGTCGCCTAGGACACGGTCACCTCAGACACGGTCGCCGCGGAGGCTGTTGCCACGGACACGGTCGCCGTGGAGGCTGCTGCCGTTGACACGGTTGCCGCGTAGACGGTCGCCATGGAGAGATGCTCGCCGCGTCGAAACGGTCGCCGTGGAGATGTTGAGAATGCGCAGCGGTCATGCAACTAATCCTCGCAACATCTCACCGCTAACCCGGGGTGTCTGGGAAATCTCTTTTTTACACAGGACGAGTAGGGCCACACACACACACACCTTGATTACCTCTGAAAGGAGCCCTCGCAGTGATCTGGCCAGGTCAGAACGTATTGCCCTCGAGTACTCGATTAGTGCAGCCAGTGCTCGTAGTGAGGGATGACTGTCGTTTGCAGGTCATCCATGCTCCAACCGCTTATTCATGCAAATCCATATCCCTTGATGTGAGCTCAAGCCTCTAACCTCTTAATCTCTGACTATAAAATTTACTAAACTAACTGTCACATTTTAATCCTGCTCCTAAAAGCATTCACCCCTACTCGTAAATTTACCCACAACCAGTAACCTCTATTATTGTTTCATAACAAAGGCAAAGATTGCTCCCTATAGCCTTGAACAGACTGTAGGAGCAAGTGCTGTTAGTGAGCACCTATGAAGGCCAGCACGGCACACAGGGGGGTGGGTGGCCAACACCACGCCCGAGCGGCTATGTTTTTACGCACTGCACCAAGTCCTCATTCGATGTTGAGTGGACCTAGGGTGGTCCCAGGACCACTACAACAACAACTGCCATTCGTCACTAAGTGGCGGTGACATCACCCCCAACGCTTGTGCCAGGCCAGGCCAACAACCACATACACACACACATAAAGATAAACAAAGACAAAGATCGCCCCCTTATAGCCTTAACAGACTGTTGGAGCAATTGCTGTTTAGCGAGCACCTACAGTATGAAGGCCGGCATGGCATACAAGGGGGTGGGGTGTCCAACACTACGCCTTAGCGGCTCCACTTTTACACACTGCACCAGGTATTCATTAGTAGCTGAGTGGACCTAGGGTAGTCCCAGGATCACTACACAACCACGTTCACACACATACGCACACACGTACACGCACACATACACACGCACACATACACGAGTGCAAATGGCGATTCAACTGTGGGGCAATGTCCGTGTCCTCTCCCTAACCCAGTGTTCTTCACTAATTTTCAGAGGGGGTGGGGGGCCACTTTAGCCGATAAGACATCAGTGTGGGGACCGCCACACCGCCCTGCAAGGAGTGTTTTCACATTTGTGTAGTTTCGGGGGGCCTCTCTAAAGACCACCAGGGGCCGCCAGTGGCCCGTGGGCCTTGCAATGAAGAACACTGCACTAACCTCTCCCTCCCTCTCTGTCTCTGTCCGCCAGGAGGCGAGCTTCGTGCAGGCGCTGTTCGACTTTGAGCCGCAGGAGGAGGGCGAGCTGGAGTTCAAGAGGGGTGACTTCATCCAGGTGGTGGACAACTCCGACCCCAACTGGTGGAAGGGCAAGTGTCACGGCGCGCTCGGCATGTTCCCACGAAACTACGTGACCCCCGTGTCGCGCCACTGACCCCCCCACGGGCAGAGGTTCGGAGGTCTGAGCGCTGCCGCCCCGCTAAGCCTGCCCCGGCGCGAGCCGGCGGGCTTCTGCGAGGAGGTCAAAGCCACGAAGAGAGAGAGAGAGAGAGAGAAAAAAAGTTAAATAATGATATAATATTATTATTCAGAGTTTTAAAACCTACGTCGCTTTGACTTTGTCTCGTTAGCATCTCATGGTTTCCATGTTTTACGTTATTCTGCTCGTCCAGACCTTCCCGCGGCACTGTAGCGCTGTGTACACCGCTGCACTACGATACAGTACGAGTTTGGCTTCGGTGGATCCGACAGGGTTTTTTTTAATTACAGTTCGTAACGAGAAGGGGGATTATTTTATTTCTTTCAGCCAACCTTTACTAAATCATGATAATGCCTTTCAAAGTAGACAGCGTTAAACGTGAGTCGTCTGCCTGACGGCAGGCAGGAGTGTCGTGTACCTATTTATGGAGGAGGTGATGATGATGATGATGTCGCGCGACTCCTGGGGTCAGCTTACCGCCAACAACGCCACACTTTTTGTATTTTTTTATTTTCATTATCACTCCCGGTCGTGCTCGGACAACCCAATCTCACAGCCGCCTCTTCTGACGACGGGATCCGCACGGAGTTTTGTTTTTATTTTTGCCTAAAGCCTCTGGCGGCGTCGCGTTCTCTCGCGGATTGTTGGACTGTGCCATGCAGGGACAGAAGCGGCAAGTCGGCCCCTCCGTGGAGCCACACGACCCCATCATCCTGTGGGGGGGGGGGGGGGGGGGGGAGGGGCGGGGGGGGGGGGGCCTCGAAACCCAGCGCGTGGCGTGTAAAGCGATTCCTGTTTTTGTATAAAACCTGCGTGTTTTTTGTGACGGCGTGATTCTGCATGTCCCGTGTGTGTGTTATTGTACTGAACTCCAGTGACTCGTCCCCTGCTCACCACGGTCACAAAGTGCATGTCTTTTCATAAAAATCGATGCATTCTTGCTTAATAAACTCCAAAAATGTATACATAAACTACAGTATTATGAAAGCGCTGCGTGCGGCTGTCTTATTGCGTCGTCGCATGCTTCCCACTTCGGCGTTTGGAGCCCAGCGAAACCGAACAATGCCAGAAGGTGAAGTCGCACCGCAGGGCATTATGGGAATCTCCCACAAATCCCCTGTGAGCCCATTTGGGTGTGTGTGGTGGTCACCTTGCCGTTTGGTGTACATTGGCTCAAGTGCGGCACTCAATCGAAAGGTCAGATCGTGGATAGGGTCACATGAACCGTTCCTTCCTTCCTTCCTTCGTGGTTGGTAGGATCAGTGCCCGGTTGTCAGTTATTCAAGTCTACGTATGTATGCACGTTGAACTTCTTCACCGTTGTAGCCAACGGTGCTAATTGGGGGTGCGGGAAACTAAAGGCGTGGTTCACACGCACGCCTCGCGGAATTACGAGTCAACTTTTGCTTTAGGTAGAAGAAAAATTTTATTCTGGAGAAATACGTTGCCACTTTTTGGGAAAACTCGACAGTGGCTTTTCTACAGATTCTCTCATCCCTGCCATAGGAATGTAGAAGTTGCGCATAACCACCTGCATTTGAATGGGGAAACCACCTTTTCAGCCAGTTTTTCAGCCAGCGAGTGACCCTCGGCAACGAATGGGTGTCAACGGGCACGTGTAAAGTTAATACATGAGCTCTTGCACAATCCAGCTTTCACCAACCTCAATTTATACACCAACCTGGCCAATCAGAATCCCTTGCGGGGCTTCTGACCCATGAAGGTGCTGAAGTGAAGAGGTGAGAGGTTAGGTCAACGGGAACGCAATGCGATGCGCGATCATGCCGTACCACGAGTGCCGTTTACAGAGGCGCTGTGTTACTAACGCGCGAGTTGCATTACATTGAGCAAGTATACCATGCAAAAATGATAAAAATACACAGCAGATACGAATTGCTCAATAATGCTTCTTTTTTTGCGCACGGCAAGTTAGCTGTGACGTCAAATCTGTCATGTGACCCGCGCATGTGGAAGCGTAACGCATTGTAATGTAGTGGTTTGTGTGCCGCGCTACGAACCCGGCGATCCGAGTTCGAATCCCGCTCACGGCCACCACCGGTGACGATTATTTGAACCGGTCCTGGGCCTCCCCTAGGTCGACTCAGCCTCAAACGAGTAACTGGTGTGGTGTGTGAACATCGCCAATGGGGACACAAAGACGGCCGGGCGTGGTGAATCCAAGTCCCGGGCGAAGCCGGGTAGTAAAGCTCGTAGAGTATAAGAACTACACGAGTGTGCAAGAGAGCTGTTTCCACTGCCAAAACAAAAAATATGTAAACAAAAGCCAGCCAAGGTCTGCACGTGCCGCCGAATGGCTGAGGGCATCGCTCCGCCCCACTTACGAGCGCTCGGATAATTGGCGCCCGCGTGCATGACGTTGCATCAGAATGTTAACGTTAGTTGAAACCATGGGGTCCTATGGTAGGCGAAACGTTAACCGAAAAACCGTTAACCGACGTTACCGACAACCGTGGGACGGCTGTTCCCCAGCATGCCGATTGACTGACTGGTGAACTCGTCCCACTGGGTGGACTTGCCCGTCATTTAAAATTTTCTGCACCCCTGGGGAGATGGAGCCGGCGGTCCCCGGAATTGCAAGGCCGTTCCACGAACCATTGCACCGCAGCAGCATTCGTTTTAACGAACGGCAGATACGAATTGCACGTGATGTGCACCTGGATTCCTCACCTGGGGGGGAGAGTGGGCCACCCGCAGACGGTTCTGAGCTGCACTCGCCTGAGCTCACCCAGCGGGCAGCACAGCAACGTTAGATACTGTTCATGGGTAAAGCGGTGGCCCGCACTGACAACCCCAGTCAACCACACAGGCCCCAAAACCCACACCCACACCTCCATCAAGCACAAAAAAGACAATCATCCGCCGTATAGCCTCAACAGACTGTTGGGGCAAGTGCTGTTAGCGAGCACATATGGTGGCCGGCACGGCACACCCCAACACACCTCCACTGATGCTATCCTGATTACAGCTTCTCTGACACACCGAACACATAAAATACACGCAGTGACACACCGCACACTCCCCCACACCAGACACCCACAATGACATCAGACAACGATCCACCACTTGCGCTCAATACCGCACACAACACAAAGATCCCCCGTGTAGCCTCAACACATTGTTGGGGCAAGTGGTGTTAATGAGCACCTATGAATGCCGGAACGGCACACGAGGGGGTGGGTGGCTAGCACCACGCCCGACCGCCTTTGCCTCCCCGGTGGCGATGTTTACACACCGCACCAGGTACTCATTTGAGGCTGAGTCCACCTAGGGGAAGCCCAGGACCGGTTCAGATAATCACTGCTGTTAAACTAAAAACGAAACTCTATTTTACCAGGTAAGGCCCACTGTGCTATATAGCTCTTTTTCAGAAGCGATCTGGTCACGATTGATAGCCCAACTAAAGTGACTTGTGTGGGAATGTATTGAAGCCAAATAATGTAAACGCATGTTTCTAAATACAGTGTGGAGGGAAACACCCGGAGGACCCAGAGGCAAATCCACGCGATCACGGGGAGAGAGCAAGATAGAGAGAGAGACGCAAACTCCAAATATACAGCAGGCGCCAGGGTCGGGATTGAACCCATGGCGTCCCTGCATACCGGGCGAGGTCGTGAGCATCTTGCCACACGTGGTGCCCTGTTGGTGGTCGTTAGCGGGGTCGCCGGGTTCGTAAGCGCAGGGCGCTAACCACTACACTACCGCTCCCCCCCCACACACGCACAACAACACAACACATGCCACGCTGACGCAGCTACCCCCCCCCCCACGCTAGGGCTGAACGAATTGGGGCGAAATATCTAATTGCGATTTTTCTGGCAGGTATTGCGATTTGATTTGCGATTAATTTTTTTTTAAAGTCACGCTTCAGTTCAATATTCACTGTGTAATTGATTTAAAACATGATGGAGTATTACCACGTGATACCATCAAATATGAACTGGTCTATATATTCTAATGCAAGGATGATAACTTAAAATATATTAATTTCTTCCAACATGTATTTATTAAAATGTTTTAATTGAAATAGAACAATCAAACATAGAACAATTGTTACGTTACATCAAGTTATAATAATAAAAACATAAAACAATTCCAATAAACTAATAGGACTTTTAAAATCGAACAAAAAATCGCAGCCTTTGCGATTTGCTAATCGCATTGTTTCAAACTGCGATTTCGATTTGAAATCGATTTATCGTTCAGTTCTACCCCCCACGCGCACAGCACTGTCACGCGGACGGTGTCCCAGAGGCCTCCTCGGCTGCGGGTCCGGTGGAGGAGTCCTCCCCCCCCCCCGCCGAGAGCCACACACTCCACGCGGGATTCATTCACCAACTAATTCATTCGTTCAGTCCTTCAATCGTCTGGCGGCTCGATGTTAATGAGCCTCGCGGTGGGGGAGGGGGGGACCCGGGGCAGGGGGTGGGGGCATCTGCTTGTGATCAATGCGTGGCCGGCAATTAAGATGATTGATGACGGGAGTTCGATTATTTCTCGGGGGTCGTGATTAATAACAGGCGATTGATGCGGGATCGACAGCGAACACGGCCTGGAGATTCATCACCGCCGTTAGGGGGGGTCCCTGTCGCCCATTAATTAATTAACGAGGGCAGTGGTGGGGGGTTGCGGGGGTTGGGGCACAGGGGGTCTTGACCCCTGCCGCTCCCTGCCCGTCTTCTCTGACGGCACGAATGTCGATTGCGTCATCACTCACTCGTAACACGCCCCCCCCCCAATCACCCCACCCGACCATTCCACGTTAGCATGGCCGGAACCCCTTAATCCGAGCCGTATACCGCACGGCGCTTCATTGTCGGTCAGCGGTCATCCCAGGACGTACGCCGAGGTAGGGTTAGCTTGAGTGCAGGGGATCATCTATCCACTGCTGGATGAACAGAAGCCTCCCCCCCACCCTCCCCAAGCCTGTAGCCATCTCTCACGGGCCATGTCGATGCAACAACCCATCTCGCTCGCGAGCCGATCACGTCCCTCCGTCTCCTCGTGGCGCGGACAACCCAAACGCACACTCAGCTGGCGCAGCGGTTCGCACGCTGTGCAATTGAAACCGAGCTTCCCGAGTTCGATTCCCGGCCACGGCTGACATCGGTGGCGACAGCATCGACTGTCGGGACGACCTTGCCGAGAGAGAGTGCGGACGAGGCGAGAGCAGAGAGGGAGAGATGCGGGAGACAGCGGGGAGAGAGTGGGGGGAGTGGTTGGATATAGAGCGGAGTGCTGGGAAAGTGGAGAGAGCGTGGGAAAGTGGAGCGAGAGCTGGGAGAGAGTGGGGGAGTGGTTGGATAGAGCGGAGAGAGCTGGGATAGAGTGGGGGGGGGGGGGATAAGAGAGACCAGGGAGAGGGCGGAGAAAGTGGGGAGAGAGTGTAGCGATATGAAAAAAAACTAAATGATGAACGAAGCAAACTGCCGACTACACCGATCATCTTCTTGGTTCCTCTGGTCGTAAAAAAAACAATAAAAAAGAGAGCAGGAAAAAGAGAGCAAGACGGAGGGAGAAAGGGGAGAGGGAGCGGACAGAGAAGAGGGGAGAGTGCAGCAGCAGCAGCAGGGGGAGCGAGACACGCGAGTTGCACCTCGCACGCAGTGGCAGAGGCGGCACAGTGGCGACATCACGGGGGCACCACGGAGGGCACCACGAGGGCATCACGGGCAGCACTGCGGGGGCATCACGGGCAGCACTATGGGGGCATCACGGGCGGCACCACAGGGGCATCACGGGCAACACTATGGGGGCACCACAGGGGCATCACGGGCAGCACTATGGGGGCACCACAGGGGCATCACGGGCTGCACTATGGGGGCACCACAGGGGCATCACGGGCTGCACTATGGGGGCACCACGGGGGCACCACAGGGGCATCACCGCGGGGGCACCACGGAGGCATCACGGGCAGCACTATGGGGGCACCACGGGGGCATCACGGGCAGCACCGCGGGGGCACCACA